GGCTGGGGATTCGAACCCGCCACCTTAGGTGTACGTGGCCGGCGCCTTAGCCGGTTGAGCTAAAGGCGCCGAGCCATAAATATTAAATATTACTTACCGAGTCTTTCTCCACAATGCGGTTTAGCATGACAACAGCTTTGGTCTTTTGTTGCCAAACCATGAGCCAGAAGTGGCAGCATGTGTTAGGAAGTGGACCCTGTGAGAACAAAGCACAAAGAGTAGATGACAAAGTGGAGAGGAACGAGAAGGCCTCGGGGGAAGCCTCTCCTCCATGTCTGCCTCTGGGATGGTAACAGATAGGCTCAGGAGAAGCAAACCCAGACTTTCACTACACCTGAATTCAAAAAACAGCTCTGTACTAGTTAGAATCTTTGGTTATAAGTGATCAAAACTGACCTTTATTTACATAGTCAAGAAAGAATTAAGATACCAGGAAGCCTTCGTAGTTGGGGTGGGGGGTGCTGGCAAATGAGGCGGGGGTAGGAATCAAAAGTACAGGCAAGAGTCTGTCCTGAGAGAGTCAACTTGGGACACTGCTCCTGATGCTGTCACTGCTTTTGTTGGCACAGCCACACGAAGGTGGCCATAGTATTCACACATACTACAAGCAAACCAGAGTCAAAAATTGTGAGTGGGAGTATCTGATAGCTACTGAGAAGGTAGGCAAAGGAAATTTCTGTGCCTTTCATGTTCTACAGGAGAAAAACAGGCCCTGACTCCCATGGGTCATGGAAGATCCACAGCAAGAGAGTCTATGCTGTCACTGGCCAGCCAACAAACCTAAGCCAACTACTAAAAGATTTCCAGCAAAAGTGAGAATCACCAAAGGACCTGAAGGCCTAGGAAACTGCTGATCTACAAAAGCATGGCTTGTGCAGCCTTAAGGGCAGAGTTAAAAAGGAGTAATAGTCACACTACATTAATGCCACGGGAGAAAGCAGTCATTGTACATATTTCCAACTATCTCCACATACGACAGCAAAGGGAAAGAGAAAAGACAAACCAGTGAAAAGTCCATGCCCAAATTATAGCTGACTAAATGAGTGCACGTTAAAATGAAGTTTTACTTGTAACTAGAATAACTCTGCACACACACTGACCTCACTGGGCATGATAGCAGAGTTGTGAGTTACAGGCAGAGTCTGGGCACGGGGAACAGGGCCTTCACCAGCTCCTGCCCCACATGCAACTAAGGGACTCAGCTGGTTCCAGAAGCTAGACTAAATGCACCTTTACAGCAGATATACTCCTTGGTGCATAGCACATGCTCAACAAATATTACATTAATAAACTCTAAATTGGCTCGGCGCCTGTGGCTCAAGCGGCTAAGGCGCCAGCCACATACACCTAAGGTGGTGGGTTCGAATCCCCAGCCCGGGCCCGCCAAACAAC